CTTTAGAGAAAGGCTCTTTTTAAGAAGCGATCCAATATGATGAATATCTTTTCTTTTCTTTCCTCGAGAACCGCATCTTGCATCATCTGCTCCTGTTGGATAGTCAGTGCTCCAGTACTTGTATTGAAACCAAACATTCATTTTGGTGTAAATAGATCGCTGTAAAAACAAATTAAATATAATGATAAATTCTATATATTTCAATATAATATAAACTAGGCTTTCTAGCAGACCTACCCTAGAAAGTCCAAGAAAAAACTTACATCAAAGTCCTTACAGTTCATGTCTGTTATAGACGAACCGCTACATTCACCATTCTCGTTAATGGGTATCTCTATATTGTAAGTTCCAAATAAACTTTGGCATTCAGCAGATCCAGACTGACGCCTCATTACATGGCGTGCCACTAAAGTCATCGCAGCACATCGATTTAAAGCGATTGTCATCCACTATCATACAGAAAATGGATTGTCCTGAAAAGACGACGCAAATAAATATATACTGGATGGTAAGAGTTTGAAAAAAGTCCCAAGTGGAGTAAAACAAAGTGTGGAAAGTCTTTACTTACTACATTAGAAAAAAAATGTGAAAAGATTTTGTACGTTATGACCTTAGTATTCACAAATAATCATGTTTTACAGAAATCAATAGTAGGCAGTATGAGACAGCTATAGTAGAAATGAAGAAAATACCATTGATACTAACTGTTTCCTTTTGCTTTTTCTTCTTTACATTTTTCATCATTGGTTATGGAAATTCGGTCGAACTCAATTTTATGCCAAGAAGTGTTTGCGAGTTCCTGATGAAACGCTTTGATGTTTCCATTTCCATCTTTTAAATATGAAGCACCTCCGTGCCTCACCCTTAAATGGACTATATCTGGCATACCGTTCTCCTCTTGTGTGTTGTCTCCATAGAGTTCAATATACATCTGAAGATGAAAAACACAATCAAAATCCTACGATCTTTAAGAACGAACAACATGAATTAACAACAAGTTCCCCAAGAGTCACACTTTTATTTGACTGCATGTATCTGACATGTCAAATATTGAACTTCTCAAGGGCATAAAAAAAGCAGATTAAGTCGAACTAAAGAAAAACATCTGTTTTCATGTTCCTGTATAGATGTGAGAATATCGAGAATGGATAGATGCATGCGTAAGAACAATCAGCCAAACTTTCAAAGCTTCATGAAAGCCGAATATTGAAGATACTGATTAAGATAAAGTGAAAAGGTTAGATCCAAACAGCTGTCTTCAATATTCCTGTAGATGCCAACATATATGGATTAATATAAATTCAATTTTCTTGCCTTTAATAGACGGACGTTGAGGCACGACGGACAGCTCTCTTCAAGACCCAAAACTAAGTTTGCTTTGCCTTGATGAAGGTCTTTAAACAACTACGAATAAACGACATAAAAAAAACAAACGCGCACTTGGTGGTTTGATTGTGAACACCTAAGTTCTCACCGATAGCTTGCCTTTTCTAAAGCRCAATGCAATACTCATTCGCTTATAGTAGCCTAGTTTTCAARATTGTTATCAAAAAACACTTACCTAGAGTACAAAAGAATATAAAAAAATCCTGGCTTATTTCAAAAAAGAAACCTTCATGCAAAAGATCTTCATTCAAAAAAGGGCCAACAGTACAGTCCAAAGTTTCGACTAGGTACCAGTCACTTSTATCATCTCTTGAAAAAGTTTAAACTTGTTTGGGGACATGAATACTAACTAAACTCCACTAAGAACAAGTTAWGTAAGAATCTATTCACTTTATGTTAACAAACCTACGCTTTTATTAACGAGTATATATGGTAGCGTTTTGGACAATAATSGCCATCAATACCATAAKTCATCCGYACTGTAAAAAATGCTTTSGATGCATGTCTTTGCTTTTAATGCATCTGAATTAAYCTATTTCCTTTGTTGGATATTTCGTTACTGGTCAAAAGCACGTCTTACACATACCACGGGGTCCTGGACATTATCAAACGACCATTTATGTATTTTATYAATGGCAGGGAATCTTGTAAAACACTGTCGTGCTYGGCTTTCTAGTTCATCTATTTCCAGAAGAGCATTGTTCAGCTGTACAACGCCTTGGAGTTGCCCGTTGGCAGCGGCAGACGAGCTTGCAGTCCKTTCAAAAGCAGTCAACCTGGCMGTTTCATCCCATAGTGTACGGAAATCRAARCTTYTATAAAACAAGTAGAGTTGTTTGGAAAAACTGGCTTCCATTTGTTTATAGGTTGTAAGAAGATCGTCAAGGAACATCTGCTGGACGTTCTCTTCAATAGGAGATTCTAGAATAGAATAGAAGATAGAGAGGCAGTAAGGGGATGTAATCAAAAACATTCTCATTCGTTAGTAACCATGTCACTAATCGCATCCTTAATGGAATCTCACCACCGATATTTCGCAGAGAAAGAAGTTCRTYCTCTGCCTCTTCCAAGTTTGGTATGTCAAAGTTGTATCCCCCGATCTCATTGTCTAGATCGATGACCTTTGCGATGAGATCAATCCTTGCAGCTCCTAGAATGAAGTAATTTTCCATCTCTGCCTTAAATTGGGCCACATTGCTTGGAGCTTGYTCCTCAAGCATGCATGCAAGGTCTGCTGCAAGACTTTCTTTGTTCATTTCAAGATTAGCCTTAAAGATAAATAAAAAAAATCGATATCTATGCATAGCATTATCACCAAATCAAACACAATTATGACTTTAACTTTTTACCATCATGACTTCTGGAACGGCCYCTACGYCCATTTGKTCAAAATCCAGTTCACTGGAATCCTCAAGTGCCCTGTATGCCTCACCAAAAGTCATCCATTTTTTGATATTAGCGAGGTTCTCCTCCAAAGTACCGGTGYTGCACTTTGTAAGAGGAACTTCGGCTAATCCAATAGCAGTATCAATAGCTACAAAAGGATCACCTGTAGCAGCAGCGCTGACAAACCCAGAAATGCCTTGCAGTATTGCAAAAATGTCGGGCCTGTCAAATGTCGCTGTATCGTGCACTTGGGGAAGTTGATCAATAATCGCTTTCAGACTGTTCTCCATTCTTGTTTCTAGTTCTTTGATGGCCTAAATCAACAATAATGCTAAGGTAAGTTGAATTAATTCAGGCCTATGAATATCAGAACTGATTCTAGGAAAAAGCCGTGGTATGAAGTTGATTTTTAAAATACAAACAACATTCGTTCCCAAAGCTACTACATATTCGACTTCAATTTT